TACAGACCGGTTCCCGCTCACTGGCTGAGCGAGGTGTGGGAGCAACACCGAGGGTTGCGATCCCGTTGCCAGTCCCGGTCTGGTACGGGCGCGACACTGAGGGTTGCGATCTGTTGCCGGACATGAAAAAAAGACAAAGGGGAGAAAAAAAAGAAAAAAAAGGGGTCTGGTACGGGCGCGACACTGAGGGTTGCGATCTGTTGCCGGACACGAAAAAAAGACAAAGGGGAGAAAAAAAAGAAAAAAAAGGAAAAAAGAATTACAATAATACATTGAACTTTAAGAAAGCGAGAACAGAACTGTGATCACTTGAGGTGGAAAGGGGGAGGTGGAGGGAAAGAGGGAGGGGGTTAATGAGAAGTTAGTGATAAATTGGTTACAGACACAAAGAATGATTACATACTGTAATGATGAATAAGCTAACTATCCTGACTTGATCATCACACATTGTACACAACTATTGATGGTGAACTTTGTACCCCAGAAACACGTATAATCAATCATGCTTCAATAAAAAATAAACTGGAAAAATAAAATTAGGTGATCAGGATGGCTCCTAATTTCCTAATGTTTATACATAGACTTTTTCAGTTGGAGAATATTGAAGATTGAAAATAAAACTGTTCCCTAATTCTTTTGTAAGGGTAGGCAAAGGACCAAAAAACTCCCATTGTGCTCTATCATGAGGAGAGATAAGTAAACTCTTTGTTCCAGAGGATCTTTAGGCTGCTGTCCCACCCTCTGATTAAATCTGGTATTATTTGGACAATTAGAGGAAATGATTTTAGACACTAATTGTAAAGAGTTTAATAGAACTTCCTTTCTTCCCAATTAGAGCTTAAATGTAAGTATTGAAAAACATTGAAAGCATATGTGATTTTTTCCAAAAATTCTAAGATTAAAATTAATGAAAAAAAGTTTTGATGACCATCAACACTTACTAAAAATTAGAGAAGTGACAGGTTTAGGTTTTTATACCTATTCTTCTCTGAAATAACTATAGTATCTTAGATTTTCATGAGAATTTCTAATAGTCTGTGGTAAAAATACAAGCCAGCAATTATTTCTCGTAGCTGAACATGGGGAGAATTGTAAGAAGAGAATTCTATTGTTGGAACTGCTATGTGAGATCAGTATCGGTGAAAAATTTTTGTGACTTGGAGATCTATACAGAATTATTCTTCACTTTTGTCTTTTCTCTAACAGAGGCAATAGGGTGCAATGGAAAATGTATGACACTAGAACCAGGTAGACTTGGGTTCAAAATCTTGGTCCTGTCACTTACCAGCTGAGTCAGAGTATATCCATTTCCCCATCTATAAATCAGAAATACTTATGCTACCTACTAGTGAGGATTATTATGAGATTATTATGAAAGTCAACCCTTGTTCATCGAGATCTTAACATGGTCATCACCTTCTCTAAGAAGCTATTCTTGACTCCTTTCTCCCACAAGATAAGGTACAATGTCTTTTCTCTGTTCACTTCCTCCCCTCTACTTGCTCCCATTTCACACCAGGATGCTGATATATACTGCATTTCTTATTGTATTAAAATTGCATCTATACATGCCTGTCACTTTCACTAGACTGTGAGAAGTTTATAACCCTTATATCTCTAACACTTATGAGGGTAACTTCCTATCAGAGTACAGTCTCACTAAATGTTTGTTGAGTGTAAGAATAACATATTTCAAGTGCTTACACAGTACACGAAACATTGAAGGCATCCGAAAATTTGTTTTTTTATTGCCTTTGATTGTAAATGTTGGTCCCAAAGTTGTATCACAAAAAAAATTCAATGCTTTAACTAATAAAACATAAGGTTAGAACTGTTTTCTGATCCACTCTAGGTAATCAGATACACTATGAGAAGCATGTTTCATAGAAGGTTAAGATTTACCAAACTTGGTGAATAACAGGATAAAAATTCCTTCATATCTTTGCCATAGACTATGCATGTACATCCAGAAAGAATATGAATTGTTTGACCCTCTGTCCATATTTTTGGTAAATATATAACTTGGCAGTGTTAATTTAGATCATCAAAGTATTGGAGACTTTTTTGCATTTGTCTCAGCTGCCTTATTTCATTGCATTACAAATGATGTTAATTCTGTGCTTAATTATGCTTAACATAATTTATATGCAATCCAGTGTTTATCTGTTGGACATAACAAAAATGCTGTTGTTTTCTTTTCATTATCCTCTGCGTATGATTTGTTGATTTTTGAAAGCAGCTGGAGTTGTTCCATGTGAATGGAAACAATTATAAGACTGTACAATAAATGCATTTCTCCCCAGAAACCATCTTATATCAACCGTAATGTGTACTTTTTAAAAAGTTGATGTACATCGTCATGCAAACTTTTAACCTGATCTTTGCTGTCCTCTCAGATCAAAAGAAATCTTCTCTTATATTAAAAAAAAAAAAAGTCCACTTACCCACGGTTTTACAAAAGCATGCATATTTCATCCATTGAAACAGAACCTTCATTTCTACAAATTGAGTATTATGGCCAGTTGGACATGTGTTGATGTTTACATCATCCATTGAAACAGAACCTTCATTTCTACAAATTGAGTATTATGGCCAGTTGGACA